AAATTTCCTCAATTTTCCCACTCTATTAAAATTCTGTTCATGAATATTTTAAAAACTCACATTTGCAAATGTTCCATACAGTTCAAAAACTCCAAATGTGTGGAAACAGCATTTTGCCAATTCAAATTTATACTGTTCTATCAAACTCTGATACTTGGAGGCATCTCCACATTTTTTTATCTTTCATTTTCCTTTCCTTTAGATCTAGAAGAGAATTAAATAGAAATATTCTCAAAAAGGTCAGAAGAGCATAACTCATCTGAATGTTTTAAATTAACTCTATAATTTCAAATTTCTTTTAAGAGTAACACCAGAGCATATTACTTGTTTTGTTTTCATAACTAAATCACTTGCTATAAAGTAACTATTTTAATTTCAATCAAAAGAAGTTAAATCAGTAGTCAAAACCAGTTTGAGTCCATCACTTTTCTTAGTGAACAATATGCAGAATGACTAGATACTTGCAAGTGTGCTTTGTAAACTATAAAACTCTGCAGAAACATAAAGATTTTATTATCACCTCAAAAAGATGGTTTATAGCTTGTTGCAATGACATGATTTCCTTCTCCATTCCAGGCCATTCTCATCTCAAAACTAAAGCTACATTTAAAAACTTACATACTTGAGTCTTCAGATCCCCAAAGATTTTTTTTTTTCAATTCTCCCTCTTCCCATGCATTTACCTCAGTGGTTTATAATTATGCATTATTTTGTAGAATTTCAAGCAAGTTTAAATGCATTATATTATTTGATCTTTAAAATAATCCTGTAAGTAAAAGCCAATAACACTGCTTCCATTTGTTGATAAGCCAACCAAGTTCAAAGACTTACTCATATTTATGGAATCAGAAAATGACAGCCTGACTTTGAACCTGTCTCTTTTGTCTTCAGAATTCATTTACAGTGTCTCCAATGTAACTTCAACTCTGAACTTTCTCTTTCCCCAAATACATTCCTGTATCAACAACCTGTATCCATTTTTATTCTCGTGATGTTACTACATCCAAGAGATTATGAAACTGATATGCCAAGGTTTGGAGGTACAGAGGATGTGACGAAGATAAGATAGAAAATGACCATATTAGCTGTAAACGCTGGCATATTAAAAGTCTTTTAAAAGACATGTAAAATGAAAGACCATTGAAAAAGAAATTACACAAAATGTTTTAAGTAAAACTACAAAATTTTTAAAAATTAAAGCAATCCACACTACTAAGAGTTAGGTTTAGTAAGTATAGAAAAGATCCAAGTATCAAAAACCACATACTGAAACTGGCCTCTCAATAGCTTCTCAGGGCCTGCATTCATTAGTATTGGTAAATAATCAAACCGTCAACGAATTTTCTGATGTAAATGTAAAGCTACTTGGAATACAAAACGTAATAAATCACTACTTAAAAATGCAGAGTGTACAAGCAGTTAAGTGCACGTGCTCCGCTTCAGCAGCCCGGGGTTGGCGGGTTTGGATCCTGGGTGCGCACCGACGCACCACTTGTCACACCATGCTGTGGCAGCGTCCCATATAAAGTAGAGGAAATGGGCACAGATGTTAGCTCAGGGCCAATCTTCCTCAGCAAAAAAAGAGGAGGATTAGCATCGGATGTTAGCTCAGGGCTGATCTTCCTCACCAAAAAAAAAAAAAAAAAAATGCAGAGTGTATTTTCAAGGATGAAATATCTTTCTGAACTTTAAAGAATATGTGATATGGTTTGCTCAAGCAGTAATAATGTACTTTTCCTAAGGAAAACAGATTGAATCTTCCTATTACATCAAATCTACCCCAAACCTAAAAGTGGGAGCTTAACTTCAGTTTATTTCTACCTGCTAAATTTAGAATTTATCCTTTTATTTCTACACTTGATCTTAGCCAAAAAACCGAGAAGAGATATCCTCTTATTTCTGGGGTACATACTAAAAACTATCTTCCTTTTTTATATAGGAAAAACCTCTTACACATAGGATAAATTGGCACCTTGGGTGCTCCCTATCACAAATTTCCCTTTGCGCTTCTCTTTAAAAAGCAACATATCAACATGGGATAAGTTACTTCCTTAATAATAGATTGCTTATTGTAAATGTCTTGAGTGCAGAGACGGTAAGCAGTATTTGCATTCCTGCTCGTCCCTCCCTGTCCAATGCCTGTAACCGTTCAAAAGACATATCAAATAGGGACTCAATACTTATCCACTTGAACTGAATAAACGTGGAAGACTAAGCATTCAATATGGATGCAACAGAAGAGAATAAGAAAGACAGTAGGGAGGGATAATGGAAGAGGGAGGTGGATTATTTCAGTACATTTTCAGTGATTAACTATTTTGCTCCTCATAAGAATATTCAAGTTTCTCAACACTCAACTAATCCTTCTACACTTTTACCTGATACTAAAGCAAAAATTTGTAGAATTTATATGAAATACAGAATGGTCCTTAACAAATAAAATGACATGAAGATAGAGTTTATTTTATTTAGGAATAAAATCTGTTAAGAGCAGTGTCTCATAGCACTTCTTTTGTGCCCCATATAAAATTCAATAAATCTTAGCAATTAGTAGTCCTACGGTAAAGCACTTTAATACCAAATTAAAGAGTCACCCAACCCTAAATAGTTCTTGAGACTACTGACATTAACAAACAAAGTCACAACAAGAAAATTATTTCTTTCAACTACCTAGAATATGTATATACAATGCTCTTAACTCTTTTTCAATTAAGGAGCCAACTGCAGCAGAATGCTAAAATCTTCATATAAATGAGCTCATAAAAACCAAAGTGATGACAAGTTGCAGTGATTATCATACACGATTATTTTGGCTAATGTTTACTTACTTTAAAGAGACCACTATTACTGGGGCCATTAGTATTCAATATAAACTTCATCAGTGAGTACATACCATGTTATCACCCTACCCAAGCACTTAGGAATTTCTTGGTAAGAAGCATAAGACAACGAAAAAATTTAAGCTACAACTTTCATTTGTTCTCTGAAATTCCAAATACTCTACAAGCCCAGAATCCTCTAAAAGCACACTCAGGCTTGATTTTTAAAGCAGTTCTTTTTTATAATCTTTTTCTTTTAACTACTGAATCATCAATTTAACAGTTGTTGAACTAGTAAACATTTCACCACTAAAAGTGAATTTCTTACTAACACCAAAGTTAATTATGTCAGTATCCCTAAAAGCCACTGAGAGAACTAATAAACCACGTGCTTCTCCAAAACTGGAAGCTAGCTGAATTGCAACTTTGTCACTTTAGAAGCCTATGAAAATATACTAATGTGAATTAACTAGTGATTCAAAAAGCCAGTAACTTTAAAAAAAGGAAAAGATAACTTAAGATTAACATCAAAGAAGTAAGAAGTATCATTTCTCATATTCTTGTATCACACAGAGATTCAATAGTGTGCCTTCAGAGTAAAAAGCTTCTTTGGGTCAAATCAGAACCAAAGACAGCAATTACTGACTACACTGGCATCCTTTGTAGTATGGTCTAACGCGATGATTCTCAATCAGGAGCATGTGTGCTCTCCCAGTGAACATCTGGCAATGTCTGAAGATAACTTTTGGCTTCATGACTATGAGAGATGCTACTGCCTGGTCCCAGGCGCTTCCCAAGCCCCTCCTGAGAACTACTGTGTACACTCGCCACCTGATGAGAGTAACATAAGTCCCCTAAAAAGAACTACCTACTGAGATGCAGCTTGGAGCCATGAGGCCAAATAACTGCGCCTTCCTACTTCAAACCACAGTTTCAAACTGTCTCAAAGCAGAGCCAGAGACAGAGCCCAGTAAGCTGGAGGTCAGGCACGTGTCCAGAGTTCTAACGCCAAGCACTAGGAGACAAAAACCCCAGCCTGATCTGAAGTCGAATATCACGACTACACAAGGTTTCTCTGCCTGCCACTGCCAACTCAGGAAGCTGACTTCATGAGAACCAATCAAAAGCAAATCTACAAAATGTCCACTATGTTTTTAAGGGAGGCATAATGAGAGAAAATGCCAACAAGTCTGGTGGACAAAGTCCTGGAGTTGCTAAACTGCTAGACCCTTCATCAAAATAAGCAGACTTCAAGAGGAGCTGAGGCAGCACCCCCCAGGAGAGAAACCTCTCTCATGGCCTCTCAGGGCAGGGGGCTGAGGATGGCAACAAGAGATGTCCTCCCAGATAGCAGAACTCGAGGCCAGCTAATAGGAATAAGGAACGTATTCCTTGGAAAAAGAGGGACTCCTCATTATTCCTACTGTGGTCTGGTGACCCCTGTATGTTGTTTCCCCTTCTCTCCTTCCCAGGTGGTTTTACCCCTAGGTAAGCGATTTGTTCCTACACTGTTACGTAAGGGGTATGCTGGGGGTGTCTAAACTCACCACTCATCAGAGATGGCCAGAATAGGAGAAGAAACAAGAAAATGTCTGAAAGGACTGCCCATTTAGTACAGCAGACTGTAACACCCTGTCCTTAGTTAGGTCACTGCCCCCCGGGGAAAGAGGAGGTAAATTGGTTTTTGGTTTTAGGTGGGATAGTGAATAGTGACTGCTAACCATCAACATATTCTGTAGTTTGAAAGACCGCCTCTGACACAAACCAAGAAAATAAATTTATATCAAGTTTTATCCAAAACTTGGGAAGCTTGTTATCTGGATTAATCCCCACCCTCCCAGCACCACTAAAGTTCTTGTTAAGTACACAAGGGTACTGATACTCTCTTTATATCTCATATCCTATATAATTATTTTCAGTTCTCAAACACCTAAAATGATTGTGACTAAAAATATTTAGGTGTTTGAGAGATGAAAATAATTATACAGAATATGAGATATAGAGACAAAAATGCTAAGCCTGCAAAGTCCGTTGAAGATTAGGAAAACTAACAAACAATGTATACATGTATTCAAAATGTGAACATGTTAATGTTTCTGCCACTGTCAGGAGAACAGCAACTAACCAACATACATAAGGCTACAGCTGTGCTTTAGGTCAAGAGCTCCATAGTTTCCATACCATTTTTGTAAGTAGTCCAGTGCCTCCAAACGAGCACCAATCTCAAAAGTGATTCCAGGACGATTTGGGGGCTTTTTACTCATCTTGAGATCCTATTCTTCAGTATTTTCTTTTCACTACCTCAAGAGAAAAAAAAAAGTTAGATTCCGATGCATAAAATGCACAGGGAATTAAACAGAATTTTAAAAACATTACATGAGAAGTTAAAATAACCGCCAGATTTCAAAGAAGTTGAATGACGATTACGGGTATCTCTAGGTAAAGTACTGTGCAACTCGCAGGCAATCTTGAAAATGAATTAAGAAAAAGGACATAAAGATAACTACTTAAAAAGAATCAATAGATGGGCATTAAAACTTGCTAGTGGCTAAAATGCTTTAAATTTTAACTTGAAAATACCCAAGAAAATTCTCCACAATAACGGCTGAAAATGTTTTCCACTCTTTGAAAAATCAAGACAGTTGAGTGTTCGGGAACACGATTATTGAGATTCTTAAGAGAACAAATTAATGCAATTTTTCAACAAATATTTATTGAATGCCTCTAACCCAAAACACTAGATAAGACACGCAACAGCACACAAAGGTGGAAGAAGCAGTAGACACGCTCCTCTGCCAGTGAAGATTTTAATAATTCCTGGTGTGATTAGGATTTTTCATCACCTATGATCTCACACCTTGCTGGCAAATGATTCAATAATTTTAATTTAACACATAAAATTGCAAAGGAAATTTTTCTTACACTTCATTCAATAAGCAATAATAACATGGATCTATTTTTTTTTAACTCTGAGAATTTATTTCTACTATATTTCAACATAAGTCAGTGCCCCCATTGACAACAAAAGTGGTTGTAACATTCAAACAAGAAACTACAAAGGAGTATCTATTCCCCTCTAGATTATTGACATGTGGACTATTTACTATCCTTTCCGCCACACTGAACACCCAGCAAACTTGACATAGCCTCTTTTTCACTAACTAGTCCTTGAGAATACGCATGCATTTTGAAATAGCCTAATCAAAATATAACAGGTAATCAGGAACGCAAACCTACTGTTATCGGAAGAGAGGCGGGATCCCGAAAACCTTTGTTATTTACAATTATTAATATGACTATACTCCCTCCCAGTTTAAAAAAGAAAACACACGACTGTGTCATTGTTCTTAATGGTTTGGTCACAATCCAAAAGGGACAAAACATAACAGCAAACACGAAAACCAACGGTCCTTTCCTCTTTGAAAGAATCTGATAGGTAAGGGGAAAAAATAACACCAATACTTGCCAAGAAAATATGTAAAATCAAACTTAAATGTTCATGGTTGGGGGGGAAATATCCTCCTGCCATGGCAACAACAAAGATTAGTGCATTAAAAAGTTAACAGGAAACTCGTCCAGAGGGTACTTGGTGTAAAAGGAACAAAGGTATGAGTATTTTTTGTGTGTGTGTGTGAGGGAGATCAGCCCTGAGCTAACATCCATGCTAATCCTCCTCTTTTTGCTGAGGAAGACCGGCTCTGAGCTAACATCTATTGCCAATCCTCCTCCTTTTTTCTCCCCAAAGCCCCAGCAGATAGCTGTATGTCACAGTTGCACATCCTTCTAGTTGCTGCGGTATGAGTATTTTCAATAGACATCTGGTCAGTGTGCAATATATAAGGCAGTTACTTAAACGTGTAGAAATCTAATCAGCCTTTTCTGTTGTTCTTCACAGGAGGAAGAACTTAGTAAGGGGTAGTTTACTAACATTTTCTAGGATCAAACTTAGAACCCATAAGAAGCAATAGAGTTAAGATCTCTAATCCCCCAGTGACACTTCGGGATGAGTAACCACAAAAAGCTAGATTCCCTTTTTCTTGGGTAGAGTGGGGAGGATGAGGAGGGAACTGAATTGATGAAAAGTAAGACAAAATAAGACAGTCAACTGGGGTGGGGGGGGATTTGGAGCAAAAAGAGAAAGGGAGACAGAACGGAGAGGAATAAAAACATGAAAGAAAGCGAAAACGAACGGCAAAAAAATATATAAGGATGGTGAAGCTGCGAGAGACGAGAACGGGGAGGGAAGAGAAAATGAGCAAGAAAATACACCACCAGGAAAGTGAAGCAATGGTCAGGGAATGGCCACGGGGCGATGCGGGGCTGTAGCGGGGTGGCAAGAGACAGACAGGAAAGGCTCAGACAGGGCTGGCAGGGAGCTGGAGGAGCCTCCAGGTTTGACAGCCGTCCGGCCCTCGGCAGAGGGAAGGAAGGGAGGGAGCGAGGGAGCGGCGGCGCCCAGACAATAGGGGCGGCGAGTTATAGGGAGGGACGCGGGAGGGGAGCGGGCCGGAGAGAGACCCCAGCGCGGGGGCGTCCCGGGCGGACAGGCGGGGGCCAGGCGGCCTCCAGGCCCTGCCGCCGCCGCCGCCGCCTCTTACCGACTCGGCCTCCTCTCCGCACAGCAGCCGGGCCGTCCGGGGCCGAGCCGGGGCACGAACGGGGCGGCCAGCCCGGGCCTCCGCCTCCGCCTCCGCCCAGGCAGAGGCCGGGGAGCGAGCAGGAGCGGACGAGCTTGGACTGCAGCTCCGGGTCAGGCCCGAGGTGGCGCGGGAGGGAGCCGGTCCGAGCCCTCAAGCCCGCTCGGTGTCCGCTGCCATCGCCGCCTCCTTCTCTGCCGCCACCGCCGCCACCGCCGGCCAGCCCTGACGCGACGCCAGACCCCGGTGACGTCAGCAGCCCGCGACGAGCCGGAAACGGGCCTGGCCCGTGTCACGTGACTCGCGAGGGTTGGGCCCGGGGCGCGCAGCCGATTGGAGGGCCGCGCCGGGAGGCGGGGCTTTGCGGCCGTTGGCAGGCGCCTAGCGGGAGGGGCGGTGGTTAGGGAAGGAAGGAACGCCAGCTCCGGCAGCCCATTGGCGGTTGTGTAGTGTTTGACCTTTGAGAGGTGAGGGCGAAGCCTACTAAATGTTGTTGTTGATTTTATGGGAACCAAGTCCCCAAAACTGCTCAACCCCAGCGTCCTGGGCAACTTTTGTAAATGCACTAGGCGCTTTCTTAGATATCCACCCCATTCCACATTAAGGATAGAGCAAATGGCTGCTGTCATAAAGTCAATAAACGTCTATTGAATGGATACCTTGTGGCAGGCACTGTGCTGTGAGTACATCACATGACAACCACAATCGCTCACTGGTACAGCTCTCCATAGTCTAGGAGATCCTTCCAATACAAAAGGCAGATATTACTAAGACATGGTGTGTGTGCATGTGTGTGTGTGTGGCTGAAGAACCAATGGCTAAATTGATGTGACTTCCCCAAGACTACACAGCTAGTAATAGCAGAACTACTTTTATCGAATACCTAACGTGTCTCAAACTCTGTTCTAGGCGCAAGAGAAAATGTCCCCACCATAGGGGGGAAACCAACAAGGGAACACACGGAGCAATATTGAGATGAAGCATCTTTTTTCTCTCTCTTTCCAGTAAACCATGCTGGTTCTTAAGTTTTCTAAATGCAACGTTGCATACAAATAACATTTATATTTATCATGCTTTACATGGAGTTAAAATGGCAAAGTATCTCTCTGAATTCAGTAATTTAAACAACTGTATTCATATCCTTTTTTTCAACATTCATTTAGCACTTACTATGTTACTAATAGCTAGCAAGTTAGACTGAATGTGGCAATATATAGAAAAGATATAAATAAGACAATCTCTAGTGGACATTTATCTTCTTGGTTTTTGGTTGCACAGCATCTGAACTCCCTTTCCACATTTGGGAAATTTCCCATGGTGGCTGTCATTAATGCAGTACACCATATATTTCCAGAATCTTCTGGACACATGGCAAGATTATATTTCCACCCTCCTTAGAATTATGTGTGGCCATTTGATTTGCTTTGGCTAATAAAATGAAATTGAACCTGAGCTTTGTCATAGTCAGCTGGTCATTTAAAAAGCCAGTTCACCAAGCTTTCTGTCTCTGGCACAATGAAAAGAATTTTTGAGATGGTGGCTGCTCTAGCAAACCTGGGTTCTAGACAGATTATGATAAACCCAGAACCCACTGCTAATCTACCACAGAAATGTACTATAAGAAAAAATTAATATTTGTTGTTTTAAGCTATTGAGATTTTGGAAGTTGTTTGTTACACAGCATAACCTAATGTGAACTGACAGATACACCCATCTTATGAGTCTTGGAAGCAGAGTCAACTTCACACTAAATAAGATGAAAATATCAGAAACTCATGTTCCCAGTCTCCCTTGGAGCTAAAGTGCTGTTCTCAGCTATGCTAATTAGATTCTCTCACTGAGGACTGTGTATCAGAGGCTGCTAGTGATTTTCAAAATAAGGAAAATTTTCTCTAGCAGCAGTGGCAGTACCAATGATCAAATTTCTGACTTTCAGCCTAGAGCTAACTAACTGAACCCTGGCAGAACCCCTGCTGACCCACAAATCAGTAAGTGAGAAAAAAATAAATATCTATTGTTATACATCACTGAAAATTTGAGATTGTTTGTAATTTAAATATAAAACGATAAAGGATAACACAGATTCTATCCACTATCCACTGTTTTTTGAGAATCCACCAATCTATCCTGAAAAGATGATTCTTGCATTTTAATTGGCACTTAACAAGGGACCCCTCCAAAAATGCCACTTGAAAGAAAAACAATAGAAATGAGGTCTTATGTAAATGATTCCTGGCTTGATTGGATTCTATAGGTGAGTATTCTCAATGGAGTTAATACTGTCCCTTGAACAACACTTTGAGAATAGAAGTGTGTGTGTATTTTTAGTTGTCACAGGATTGGGGTAGGGCACTCTTTCAATTTAGCATGGAGGAACCAGGACAGCCAGACATCCTGAAATGCACAGTGCAATCCTGTACCTTTAAGAATTGCCCCAGGTTATGCATGACTTTTGAATGTTCCTCCAGACATTCATGCAAGTGAAAAGCTTGTTTATAATTGTCTGAACCTAGAACTCAGTTTTACACATAAGCACAAAGCATGTTTGGAAGGTTTTAATGTAAACTCAATTCTCCAGGAATGAAGCAAGTATGTAATATGAAGGAAGACTATCCTTTTTTATGAACATTTCCAAGAGTTTATCCCATTTTTAAAAATCGTGTCACCAATGATGACAGGCAAAGCTACTCATAGCATTTGAGGCACTGATAGAACACACCTATACCACTCTGCGTTTGTAGCTGTTACATTCAGGGTAGATCTAAATTTAGGTGCAAGCACTTGACTACTCCATTATGTCTCTCTGCGAGTCATGGCTGAACACTCAGGTATTGAAATATGTTATTTTATTATGAATTATTTCCATTAAGTTTGTTCTTATCATTATGTCATTATATTGATTTTTTTAAAAATACATGTATGTAGCTTGATTATATTGTCTATGAATTTAATTTCAGAAAAGTGCAGAGGGTGTTATATAATATTAAAGCTAAAACGGGGCATTAAGTCTGATAAAACTGACAGAAAATTCATATAGGCTATCACTGCCTCTTTTGACCATGTATAGTCAAATGTTGGGATCAGGGCAGGGATAAAAGATACAGAAAAGTCTAGAGATGACTCCACAGCCATGCAGTGAAGCTATGCATTGCTATGTCCCCCCACCCAACACACCCCTCATCCAGATGGTTAATGTTAGCCATCAGTCACTCCATCTCCAAATATAGAAAGAAAGAACTTACAGCTGTGTTTGAGCAGAGCCAAACAAGCAGTGGGCAAATTATCTTGAAACAACAGTGCTTAGGCAGAAATCACTAAACCAAATTCCTCCAACATTAAAAGTATGAATGGAACCACAATATCTCCTGGAATATTTAACAACTGTATGTACCTATTTTAAGGGAGGAAAGAGTCACTACTAAATACCAGATATTCCTTGATTACATATAAAACACAAGAAAGCTATTTTTTGTGTTTTTCCTTTAATATTTATAATTAGCATCAGTGAAGAAAATCAAAGCAATTCAAAGTTTTGGGTTTTTTTTAAAGAAATAGACTAGTTTAGTATAAACCTAAACTGCTTCAATAAACACCTTTGGCATATCTCTCTATTCCAGGTTACTAAAAATCTTTGAAAATGGCACTAACATCACTTCCTTCACCTGCCAAAGAACTACTGTTCTTGTCTCTCTGTCACCATATCCGTTTATCAACAGACCAGGAGTGTTAGCTGTTCCAGAATTAGTCTCTGGCAGGTGGACCTCTAGGCCATGTATGAACCTGACGGAGAGACAGCATCTCTCCCATATGTCCACACAGCATTCTGCTCACATTTCTAATGTGTTTCCCTTTGTGATGTATGGGTTTATGTGCTGCTTTCTTAGAATGAGTCAGTCCAAAGGATGATGGGACATTCTAGACGACTTTATTTTATTTATTTATTTTTACTGGAAGTTCCTATGCTACTCAGAAGCTACCTGGGTATCTGAGATTTTTAAGAATTTTGGACTTGGCAGTAATGATTTTAAGATATCAATCTCATAGTAAAGATCATAAAATAGACAAAAAAAAAAATATGTTTGACTCAGCAAAAGCTTGGAAATGCAGCAAGAGACCTGAATGACAGAGAATTCCTTTTTGTGCAGATTGCCCTGAAGCAATGGAGTGATCATAAAATTTACCATCCAAGCCTAGACACTTTTGAGAGTGGAAGGAGGTAGTATCAATAATTATACCAGAAAAACAGAGGGATTCCTGTGCAGTCCCGGACAAACTGAGGCATAGTTTCATGATCATGATACCTAAAGCAGGAAGAAATAATAAAGAGAAATAAGGTCAAGATTCCCTAAATGGAAAAGCATTGGCTATGGAATCAGTTCTTTTTTTTAATTTTAATTATTTTATTGAGGTCACATTGGTTTATAACATTGTGTAAATTTCAGGTTTAAATCATTATATTTCAGCTTCTGTACAGAGTGCATCATGTTCACCACCAAAAGTCTAATTTCCATCCATCACCACACGCTTGATTCCTCAATGGATTTTCCCCTTTTCGATACCAAGACAAAGCATGGACTCTTCACTTTTAGCTACTATGTTGATGCTTTGCACTGCGTCTGATTTTGTTGTCTACTGTTATCACTTCCATTGACTATACCAGTGTTTCTCAAGCCTTGCTCCACCAATCTTCTGCATTCGACCCACCTGAGCTGTTTGTTAAAATGCAAGTTCCTCGGCCCTAACCTGTATCTTGGGTTGGGAGACTGGAAATCTGCACTTTAAAAGCCGTCCTAAACAATCTTAGGTACGTGAAAGTTTCAGACCTGCAGTGTGTTAGGATTCTTTTGGTTGCATGTGACGGAAAGTTCAATGCAAACAGGCTGAAGCATAAAGGGAATTTATTCGTTTGTGGGATTAAGAAGGGATGAGGGATCAGTCTGCCTTCTGGGGCAGTTTGATTCAGGGATCAAATTACAGCATCTTTCACTCTGCTTCCTATGCGTTGGCTTGATTCTCTGGATCCACATCTCAACCCCTAACAGCTTCAGACTTGTCATTACAACATCCCGAGGAACATAAAGACAAGTGCCAGAAGTCATTCTCTCGTTGGCCTAAATTCCCAGGGTGACCATGGGGATGACTTATACTGATTTGGCGTGGACCTGAGTCCAATCCCCAATGAGGCAGGTGGGAGTGGAGATTGCCCAAACCTCAAAGACCGAGAGATGGAAA